CCCGCCCTGGAACGCCCCTCCCCGGAACGACCCGGAACGCCCCGCGCCGCGCCACAAAAGACGGTGGAGCAGTAAAACGCCAACATTCTGACACATTGTAACGCGAGGTGCGAGGCCTCCAGGCGGCGGCGCTGCTCCAGGCCTCCAGCCCTCCAGGGGGCGGCTACGGCCGGCGGCTCGGCTCGAGAGGCCCTGCCGCCAGGGGAGAGAGACGCGAGGGTGTCACTTTAGTGCCCGTTTTTCGAAAAGTCTGACAGGGGACAGAGATTATGGAGCCTCAATTAAAAGGGGAGGCGGGAGAGAAGGGCTGCGTGGGTGGACGTGGATGGGTCGGCCTACTGGACGGGACAGCCGCCGACTGCGCCGCGTGTGCACCAGGTGAGAAGGTGAGGACTGCCCGGCCCCGTCCTCACCCGGGTCTCTGTCCGCCGCCGCCGCCGCCGCCCGCTCGCCTGCCGTCTGATGCCCGCCAGTGCACGGCCCGACCGGCCTGCTTAACTACCAAATAAAAGGTAACGAGGATGTTAACGTGTCAAAATGGCGAGTTATGATTTTTATAGGGCGGCGGGGGGGGGGGAGAAGCAAGAGAGAAGGAAATTCCAGTAGCACACAGCCCCGTGCCGCTCGCGCCACGATCCGGGAGCGAATCAAAAATAGATGAGTATACGGAGAAAATGTGATTCACAAACCCCGGCAGCGGCGTGGTGGAGAGTGGCGCCGCCCGTCCCCAGCCAACAGAAGCGGCGGAGCCCGGGTATCATTGTCATTATTATTTCCCTCTAAACGCCTCAAAAGTGACTCGAAATGAACGTCTTCCCCCCCCCCTCCCCACATCTTTTGGGAATGGTCGTTGTGCCTGGCTCTAACGACGCTCTCCGGCTGCTACGCGGGGGTGTGGGGGCGTCGCGGTCCGTCCGCACCCACCTCAGGAAGCGTCTCCTTGGCGTCGTCACGTGCGTTGTTTGAGAGTGGCCCGCCACGCCCCGCCACGCCCCACCACGCCCCGCCGCGGCCCGCCTACGCTGATGAGTCCTGATGTGTTTGCCGAGTTGATTACCTGTGTTTTACCTTAATCGAGTTGCGCTGCCGCTGCTGGCGCGCCGTGCCCCTCCGTCCCACGGCCCCGGGGCCCTGGAGCCGAGGGGCCCCTGCAGCCTCCAGCCACAGCCTCCAGCCACAGCCTCCAGCCGTGTGGCTCCGGCCGCTGGACCAAACCTCAAACCGCTACACGGCATCAGTAGGCTCCTTGCTATGTGGCCGAGCTGGCTACACGTAGTCATGGAATTAAAGGAAATAATGTAATGAATGAGGATGCCATGTACTTGCTATGTGCATTACAAGCAGACTTGACGGCTGTATACAGAAAGCACCGCGTTTGGTACTGGGAACTAATTTTAAAACCGATATAACTTTGGTTAAGTTAGTTCAACCATAAAGTTTGGTTAAAATTAGTTTTAGTTACATACGAGGTGGCTGATTCACGCCGCGCATTTTCGTAGCTATACTGTACCGTGTGTTCTAGAAACAAGTAGTGCAAGTGTTCTGTAGCGGCGTCCCCCGCGATCTCGTGAGGTGGTCCGCGCAGCGGTGTCCTCGCGACTTCGCGGGGCGGTCCACGGTGGCCCCGTGTCTTTGCGAGTTTACAGATGATATTTTCCCACCATTAATTCGTGTTCTTATGAAATAAGTCAGATTTTCTATTGAGCAAAATTCAAGATATTTTTCTTACATAGATTTAAGAACACATTTTGCTGGGTGTGCACTGAGAAAAGCGATTTGTCCTAATAACCAAAAAAGTGTTGAAACCAATGAAAATTTACTCCCTGAAGCCAAGTAAACATTTTACAAGAACTTTTGCCCAAATATAATCAGACCAACAATTTAAAAATATCGTAAATCCGATCACATCTTATCACCATGACTGCATCATGTAAAATCAGGGCGATAACTATTTGTTTGACGGAAGTAAAATTTTCTTGGCTCCCTTAACACTGTTTTTTTGTTCCGTGGATCAGTTGGTTTTCTGAGTGTGTTTGCAGTTGGTGGCAGTTGCAGAGTCCAAGTCATCACGATCGCCCAAGGTGCTAACGCATGTGTTTTATTTTCTTTTTTCAGGTGCGCTACACAGGATACCGGGACAGACCCACCGAGGAGCGCCAAGTTCGCTTCCAGACGGGCTGCAGGGAGGGGCACACAGAAGTGGTGAGTTCATACACGCCGTGCACGAGAGGCTGCGTGTGGACGCACTTACGCTGCAGACGCCTCGTCATCCATATTATTTGTATCAAATCTCGGGCAAGAATCTCGTATTTGCCTCACGCTGTTATTTATTTATTTTCGCTATAGTACATATTTGTTTCCTTTCGCTTGCCTTTAGGCGTTCGTCGCAACGGGGACCAACATCCAGCTCGTCTTCCACGCCGGCACCAACGGCTACACCCACGGCGAGCACGGCCGCGACTGCGACTTTGAGAAGGAGCACGGCAAGGTGAGTGCGATGGGCTCTGTCTGCCCGACAGTGTATTATACCCCCTGGCTTCGAACGTGAGTTGGCTTCTCCCTCACGGGATTACATACAAGTTGCACTGGTGCTGCTGGTGCTGCTCGGCAAAGCGAATATTTATGAGCTCACGGCTCTCGCTCGCTCGCTCGCTCACCAACGGTGGCACAGATATGTTGCGATTATCCTTGAAAGGCTCCACAGGAGGAGGAGAACAAGAGAGAGCGAGCGAGGCCGACAGAGGGAGAGCGAGAGAGATAGACATTATGGGCAGCCTATCAGCAGCAAAGCGTAGCAGAGCATAGCGCTTTGTCATAATGGAATTGTGTCAACACTCGAGCGCATCGGCGGGAGTAGGGGGAAGGGGAGGGGGCAGCAGCGCGTGGGGCTGACGGCTCATTTACATGAGCCACCGTGTGTAGCCCTTTCCCCTCGTGGAATTCCCCCTCTCCATCATCTCTCTCACATGCACACTTGAGCGACCAGTAGAGAAAGAGGGAGAGAGAGAGAGAGGAGGGGGACATGGCGGGGAGCTTGGTTTCTGCCAGGCTGTACTGTATCACGTTTCACTCCTCGGTCCCCGCGGTAGGCGAGTAGCCGTCAGCCTGGCCGGCTCGCGGGGCCGGCTGTACCGCCGCGGCCGCGGCCGGCTCTGATTGGTCGTTGCTCCCCCCCCCTCCTCCACATCCCTTCCTCGCGGCTCCCCCACGACGCGAAACGGCTCGGGGCAGCAGCATCAGCAGCGGGCAACGACGCCGGTTTGACCAGCAGTGGCGTGTGTGTCTGCGAGAGAGAGAAAAAGAACACGAGCGTAAAATGGAGAAAGAGACCCTCCGTAAAAACATGGCTTACAAAGAAAATAAAAATAAAATGACTAAGCCGTAGCCCGTAGGCCTGTACCAATAATAAAATTTCTCGCGGGATTTTGTTTCCGGGTATCAAGTATGCCCTCGCAGTATGTCTGTGACGGGGTGACGCTTTGGCGTGACGCTTTTGGCGTGTGAGTGGGCGGGGGTGCGAGCGTCACGGACCGTCACGCCAGCCGGGCTGCACCGGCGGAAAAACAGCGCACCGCCTTTGTCGTTGTGCCTGCTGCCGGACGTGTCGTGGCGTGGCGTGGCGGGGCGGGGCGGGGCGGGGCGGGGCGGCGGGGCCATCGCCGGCACGCAACCATACCTTTTATTCGCGGGTCAGTCCTGAACGAGCCCTTCGGGCCCTGTCGTTAGCGCGCTCACGGCCCGTGCTGCCGCACACACCGGCACTGCCCGGCACTGCCCGGCAGCGATGGTCGCTTAATTGAGCTCTTCACGGTCCAACGGCTCCAATGGCTCCAATAGGGACAATTAACCCCCCTAATTGTACCCCCCGGCGCGGCGGGGGGCGGAAGCACTCGGGGGAGGAGATACCGGTGAGCGGAGGCCGGGAAATTTCGGACTTCGTTTGAATGTGATTCCTGCTGGGATCGCGCGCGTGTGCACGCGTTTTGACATTTCGTGACTGGACAAGCAGCGCGTGACCGTGACCCGGGAGTCATGGGGGCCAATCGCCGTGACCTGAGGAGCCATCGTTGCCTTTAAATCGAACCAGTTAGGGTCGTTTTTACAAGAATTGTGAACTGTTTTTTGTTCACGAGCTTTCCCATGTTTTTCTTTCACTCGTCCACTCGTCCTCTTACATATAAGAAGGACGCCGTCCTGTTTCTCAGGGCGGATCATCTGCAAACGGCCTCTTTGATACGATATACACTCGACTCGTGAAAATAACACGTATACGCTTTGCAGCAGCGGGCGGGGCGGGGGCGGCGGCATCGCCGCCAGGTGTTGTGTTGAGGCAATAGGGAGACACTCGGGTGTCGTGTCACTGCCGATGGAGTCGTCAGCGGCGGCGGCAGCAGCAGAAGGCCCTTTGTGACTGTCGACGAGGCCCGGCTACAGAGCGCGGCTACAGAGCCCGGCTACTTGATCCGATAGCCATCGCATCGCACCGCGCCTGATGCCGACCGAAAAGGAACCTGGGCCTTTGTAGAACGCCGCTCGGCGCGCTTGCAGTTGCTAGCCCCAATGCGGAGTATACTACATGACTGTTTGTTACGTGTAATTTCTTGAATTGATCTCGAAGTGGCATTTATTTATAACGTTAAATGTGCAATGTGTGCTGCATGTTTAATTGACGCGTTCCGTGTGGCCCATCGGCGCCGTTCTTTCTTCCGGCTCGGCTATGCTGTACCGGAGCGCAGGCCTGCGGACGGGTTGCATAGTCGCACGGGGCTGTAAGGTGCCTTGGCGAGCGACGGTAGGCAAGCCCGCCCCGCTCGCCTGCGCTCCGGTACAGCATAACCAGAAGCGCTGTTGGGCTACCCTGGACCCTGGAATTACTAAATGTTATGTCCAGGAAGGGCTGTTTCACCGTACAGCAAGTATTGAATTTCCATTCCCAAAGTGTATTTACGAGTTTCGAGAGGTGGAAATGTTAGAGAGCGCGCGTGGCGTGGCTTTCGGAGACGGACAGCGGGCGGATGCAGTTGCAGCCAGCGGCAGTCACATCTTGGGGCGCCGCGGCGGGGCGATCAACTCGAGCAGCGGAACGAGACGGAGGGCCATCAATGGGAGTCAAAAGGCCCCGGTGTCTTTGTCGGCTCTTTGGCCGGGGGGGGGGGGGTGACCGTGGATAGGGCCCCTGAGCCTGAGCCGCCGAGCCGCAGCCGCAGCCACGACATTTCGCCCGGGATGATCGACTGGAAAATATCTGGAATCCGAAACCCTTTGCTCTGTCTGTCTCGGCGGGTAGGGGAAGAGGGGGGGCAGATCGCGGCGGTGAGGCGGGCCGGCTCCGGTGTCTCCGGTGCGGGCTGTACTGGCGGCGCCCGGCCAGGCGCCACTTCCAGCCGCCCGGCCCGCGCCGTGCCATCTGTGGGTGGAGTGTACCACGCTAGGCAGGCAGGCCGGGGTGGCCAGGCCGCGGGGCGGTAGCGGTGGCGGCGGTGGCAGCGGCCCCGCGATCAATAGGACCGCACCCAGCCCACCAACCAGCGGCGCCAGGGCCAGGAGGGCCCGGCCAGGACCACCACCCAGGGCCTCGGGCCGGCCTCAGGCCTCACCGCGCCGGGCCGCGCTCCCGCCACCGCCAGCCACCACCGCGGTGTAGCGCGGCGCGCCGGCAGCGGAGCAGGGAGACGCACGGACGCCATTTTGTTTTCCGTCCGCGGCGCCGCGCGGAGGGCGTCCCTCCCCAACCCCGCTCCCTCTCTCTGTCTCTCGCTCTCTCCCTCTCCCTCTCCCTCTCCCTCTCCCTCTCCCTCTTCCTCTTCCTCCTCACACCCCCCTGCGTCCTCTTCTCCCTGCCCGCGCGGACCGCCTCCCTCTCTAGTGTACTCGAGTGTTTGCTCAATAAAATGTTGCACAAAAACTGGAGAGTTGAAGTTTTGCTGTCTCGAATCGCCGTCATTTGATTGCAACCAGCAAAGTCAGTGCACGTGTAACTATACGATACTTTGCCCACCATATGGATGAAAATTCGCCTCTGGCACTCCGATTGTATCATTTCATTGGGACACTTTGCATCATAGCTGACCCTTAAAAATAATGGGGTTAAAACCGTCTCATTTCTTAGGGACATCATAATCCTTTCTCATTTTTTTTTTGTGTAAGTGTTTTATGATGAAATGGCTGGCAGTGAATCGATTCGGAAACTACCAGATGTAGTTACACTGTAGCGCACGCAGGCTTGGGCTTGTGTATCGCCCGGTGTCGCCCCTGACCACGACACGGAGGCAACCCGCCCACACGCAAGAAATGCGGTACAGTATTTACTACAGTAGCGTGCGGGGCTAATCAGTCACCTGGTACAAAACTTTCAACATTAGTTTATGGAAAGGTATTTTCCGAAATCCGCCAAACGTTATTGCGCAGGGAGTCCAGGTCAAATCGGTCTCTTTGAGTCTTGTTTCGGTGACACTCGTCGTTACACATATCACGACAAAAGCTGTGGATCCGCTCCTCATGTCGCACAGCCGGCGGGCTCGGGCGGGTCGCTCTCACCCCGCTCTCGCTTTGCACTCTCTGTAAACGTTTACCGGTCCGTCCTTATCATTCTTATCGGCGGACCCGATCCCGCGGATCTCATTGGCCGGAGCGGTAATGACGAGGTGTGTTCAACCCATCGGCATGGCGACATTGTATACCTCGCGGGGAATAAAAAGCTTGCAGGCCGCCGGGAGTGTGACGGGGGCGCGGCGTATCGCGATAACCATCGAGCGAGAGAGAGCTGCCCGAGAGTGGGAGAGGAAGGGAAAGAGAAAACAGTTGCGTTTGTCGGCGGCTCGAGTTTCGCGTTTAGCGCCGCCCCAATTTGAGGGGTGAATAACAGTGAGATGCTAGCCGACATCGCTGCCCCCCTTCGCCCCCCCCCCCACCTTTTCTCCCCTTTTTACTCCACTTTCCTCAAGCGGAAGTCTTTGAAACTTTTCTCGTTCGGTCGGTCGGTCGGTCGCCACTACTACTTCCCAGGGCCGACCGTATCGCGCAGAACACCGCGGCATCGTGAGAAGGGAGGGGAGAGGGGGCGCTTGGTTGGGGCCGGTCTTGAAGGGGCGGGCGGCTCGGCGGGGCGCCAGGTGGTCTGATACGCCTGGCTCAGCCGTTTGGCGGCAAAAGTTTCCAGACTGCTAGTCGAGCTCAGGAGGGCCGATTGAGACTCGAAGAGGTGGTCAGGTGTTGGCGGCGGCCAGCGGCGGCGTGCAACGTTCGTCGTCCTTTTCAAATCCGCTGTTTTATAGGAGAGTTGGGATATTCTTGAATAAAACAACGTATGAGTACGTGCAGCAGCCCGTAGTGGCTGAGCTTTAGTCGTTAGTGTGCTAAAATTCTCAAATGTGGCGGTTAAAGGAATATAGTAATAATAATTTACAGATGGGAGGCCAGGGAAGAACAGGAAAGAGGGGGGGGGCACTGGAAAATTTGAGGATGAAGTTATCCAGTTCTTTAACCACC